ACCTTCACATACCCCGTCCACCGATAGACGCTCCAAAAATGTTTTTCTTATTACTCAAAGCCCCTCTAACTAATCGGAAATGATTAAATAATTAATTTGCCAATTACTTAACTATTCTCGTGTCTCTACTCTCGTCCGAGACTTGATCCAAGACTGCTTTCAGCAATGTTTAAGGGACCCTCAATTACCCTTTCTACCTACATTGGGTCCACAAAGGATTTTCAACTTATCTAATGCACCCTCAATTAATAAACAAATTGATTTGTGAAGGCATAAACAACTCTCGGATGCACTCTCGGACGAGAGTCTTTACTGGAGTTTGGCGCCCTAACCTCCGAAAATCCGAGAGTCGAATGAGTGTCCATTCCGAGNTACTCAAAGCCCCTCTAACTAATCGGAAATGATTAAATAATTAATTTGCCAATTACTTAACTATTCTCGTGTCTCTACTCTCGTCCGAGACTTGATCCAAGACTGCTTTCAGCAATGTTTAAGGGACCCTCAATTACCCTTTCTACCTACATTGGGTCCACAAATGATTTTCAACTTATCTAATGCACCCTCAATTAATAAACAAATTGATTTGTGAAGGTATAAACAACTCTCGGATTCACTCTCGGACGATAGTCTTTACTGGAGTTTGGCGCCCTAACCTCCGAAAATCCGAGAGTCGAATGAGTGTCCATTCCGAGAGTCCCTAGTCTCGGACTGATCCACCAGGCATTCCTCTGGGAATGGTCCAAAAAATTAATGAAAACGCCTAGGATGCATGGATTCGTCGACCGGTGATCATCGTGGCCACATGGACTTCATAAAGTATTATTTTGCGATTCCTGAAACCTGATAATTCCCCGAAGAATTGCTCCAAAAATTAATAAAACGGACTTGGTGCGCCGATTGAATGATCACTGGTCATCGTGGCCGCGTGGATTCGATAAAGTATTGTTCGGCGACCTCAAAAACCCACTCATTCCCTCCGGAATTGTTCAAAAAAATAATAAAACCGACTCGGTGCGTGAATTTAATAGCCAGTGATCACCGTGACCACGTGGACTGAATAAAGCACTGTTCAGCGGTCGCAAAAATTTTCTCATTCCCCGTGGAATTGTTCAAAAAATTAATGAAAACGTGTCCGTGCGTGGATTAAATTACCAGTTGTCATCATGACATGGATTGGAAGAAGCCTTATTCGGCGTTCCTATAAACACACCCATTCTTCGAGTAATTGTTCAAACAATCATTAAAATCGACGTGGAGCGTAGATTGAATGAGCACTGGTCATCGTGACGACGTGTATTCGATAAAGAATACTCCTGTTATGCCCCAGATTTGATCAATTGCGTTATTGTTTAATATTTGGACATACTGCATTGTCAGCAAGACACTTGCCAGCGTAACTGGATTATGCTGACCAAGTGATAAAATGTAAACAATCAATGTATTATTTAAGAGATAGTTGGGTCTGCACAGAACAGACCTGAATTGGGCTCCGACGCCTACAAAAGTCGTAAACTCTTTGTAATCAATCAGCTGATACAGCAGTTATAATCATGTAATAAATTTTCATATTTAAATGCCGATAAACCATTGGTGGGGTTTATCCCTTTAAGCCTAGAACCTACTATAATTATAAGTACCCCCCACGCTGGGTACAACACTCCCATTCCCCGAGGAATTATTGAAAAAATTTTCAGGAATGCCTTGGAGATGTTATACAGATATCCAGTGGTTATCAGGACTCCGTGCATGTGAAAATACATGCCCCGGAGTTTCCCCGAGCAAGTTTTTTCCTCGAGGAATCGTTCACAAAATGTCCGAGAATGGCTTGGTGCATGATCTAAATATCCCGTGGTTATCGGCACCACGTGGATTCCGACAGGAGTGCACCGCCGACTCCAGGAACATGCTTTTTCCCCGAGGCAGATTATAATCTGAGTTCTGAGGTAGCAGAGGGCACCTGGACCATGCTCAAGCATGTTCTCTACTGATACATAATGATTTTAATGTTTCATTCCGCCGGAAAATAATTGTCCCATCCTCATTTGTTTAATGTCAATCAAAAAACCCTTCTTTACCCTATCAGATCATTGCAGTACGCCGCCGCCAGATGGCGCCACCTTTGCGTTCCCACTTGACAATTTTTCCACTTGACGTTTTTTCCTACCGTCTCCAACATTAATTATTGTTTGTTGGTTTCTTTTTTTGAGTATTGGTTTAGCATCACTTCCCAATTACTCAGCTTGTAATCCCGGTAATAATTAATTATCCCGGTGGAAAGCTGGACCAGAACGCCAAAAAAATTCGAGTTTGTACAAAAGAATGAAGAAATTTGGTTTTGCATATTGTTGCTCACACGATGGTTGACACTGAATTATGTCTACGCAGAGATTTTTTTTTCGATTCGTATTTTGCAATACGATGTTTATTCAACATATCATAATAACACAAAAAGTTCATGACAACAACAGTTTTGACATTTGACAGAATTAATTATAAAGAAAAAAACTAATGATCAAAAACAAAAATAAAACAAGAATGGTAATAAACAAAAATAGAAAGAAGATGGTAACTGTTAACAATTATACAACAGATTGAATACAATGACGACTGATGGTAGTGCTAAAGTAATCATTTTTTATATAGTAGATCCAAGTTGTAGGGAGTTAGGTGATGGTGGCCGTCTTTTGGTTGTGTAGCTAGGGATGGTGCAAAATCCTTCCATAGGGTCAAGTCAATTTCTGGTAGATCGGTGCAGCTTGTGATTGGATTCCTTCAACATATGAGTCACAAGTAAGAAGAGAATTTCCACTAAAACCAAATACTAACACGTCCATTGCAAAAATTGTAAAATAAAACAAGTCTAAATTGTTATGGAAACTTATTAGGTTTCGAGAGAATTCATCATAGGAATTTCTTTTGTTGATAGTTCAATGATCTAGAAAAAAAAGGATTTCAGCATTTTTCTGGGAAACAGATCGTCTCGGAGAGATTGTGAAAATTATTCATTTTCAATTGTAGACTTATTCGTTCTTATTGAAATGCTTGAGAAATTCATTGGAAGAATCGTTTAACTCACATTGGTGATGGAATTTCGAATGCTCTGCGCTGCATATTCCGGATATTATCACTGTTATCACATAACAGCCTGCCTATGCTTGCTTTTCGAATTTCTCTCAATTGTTCTGATTGATGAGAAGAATCAATATAGAAATAAAATCATGCTCATTAGATCTCTATACAATTAAAGAACTCTTATATCATGAATCAAAGGGAGGGAAATTACCTCGAGTGAATGTAACGTCGGGATTCGGAGATTCATACCAGAATCGATCACCAACTCGCGTACGATAGAACTGCTCAATCACGATGCAAAGGAAAGTCGGTCCTATTAATGCACCTGGTGCATTTTCCTCTAGAGAACCACCAATCGTTAAATCGACATCATCCGGAGTTTCGTATAATAGCGACAATTTTTCGACATTCTGTAATTGAAGATTATATCACAATGACAAATCGTTTCGATTCAATTCGTTTATTCCACGTCGTAAAATTTTACGTGAAAGAAATGAAATAAAGGGTGATTCATTAATGATTTGGTGGAAAAAGAAACAACATGCAAATAATTTTTCAAATGAAAAATAAATTGAATTTTAACATCTTGAAAGAACTTTACCTGTATTGAAATGGTATCATCAAAATCATTCCAAGTTCGACCTCTTCTAAGACCACAAAAATCCCGGTAATCATTGTAACTGGCCAATCCATGATCGCGATTTCTTTGAATATCAATAGCTCTCAAATCCCCACCTAGTCTATCTCTACCCCGGAACAAGAACAGAGTAATCTGCAGAGAACAATTGTGAAAAATAAGTTTACGGGAATAGTCTGCAATTTGTATCAATGACTGACCTCCCTGTCGTAAAATTCATCTCTTGTCTGTTCGGGCTGATCCGCAAGGCCCCTAGTCAATGCGTCCATATTATCAACCTGTTCAATAATGCTAGGCCTCATGAACCAGTCACTGAGTCTCAACAAACTTTGCGAAGGAGAACGATCTTCCATCACAAGCCTGAAATCCATAATAAATTGGATGAAAATTCATAAACTATCGCAATAAAAATCCTGAACTTGAAAATTCATCACAATTTTAATTACTTGAGATATCCAGCGATAAGAGAATGGAAAACACGGAAGGCGGCATTAGAATGTTCATTAAGAACGGCTGGATTAACACTGGGATCATAATCATCGATATAATCATCAGTATCATAGACAATCCGATATCTTAAGGCATTTTCGGAACCTAAATACCATTACAAATTATAAGTATTTCATCATATGCGCGTATGTAACGCATACATGCATCGAGTAAGCTCACCGATCATTATGGGCAGCCATTCGTAGTAAGATATGTGCTGATTGATGGCGATTGTAATACGCCTAGTCTCCTGATAAATTGTTTCATCGTTCCAATGTGGATTGATTCGTGATAGTACTCCGGCGATTCTATTATGCTCACGAAGGAGAATAATTTGGAGAACAGTCAGTTGAGTGTTCTGATTAACTCGATCATCCCCTGGATAATCAAAATTCAATTGTTGCTGAATTTATCGCAAATATTAGTGCGTAATGTGAACCCAAGAGCGAGGGGAAGTCATTCACCTAGTTTCCAAAAGTGAATTCGAAAAAACTTGCTCAATTATTAGATTGAATTAATACAATTAATTACCAGCGACGTAACACACGTCATTGGGCGATCGGATATCACATGACATAGAGGCATTCAGGTTAGTCGGCGGCCATTCCCTCTGACTCCTTATTTCGGTCTTGAGGCGTCCATCTACCAGGGCACGAAGATTCATAGCAGTTTGGTCTGACGATCCGTACAGGAGGGAAAGATCCAGAAATTGAGTTACCATTGTTATCTACAATATATGATTTATATATTTATATTGTATTTATGAAAAATGATTGTACTCTTAGTGGTAAGCTCATTGAGGCAACCTGTTCAGTGGAACCCTGTCCCTGGGAACAACCCAGAAGGCGATCGGTTATAGCACGCTGGAATGTTAAACATTCTTGATTTCTGTAATCAGGATCCTCAGGACCTACGACGATTGGGAAACATGTTGGATCGTCGAGGTTGTTCAAAGCTAGGCGATTGTCGTTTGTACAGCATGGGCCACTTTGAGCATCTAAAATTTCAATGTACTACTTGGAAAAGACCATATTTGACAAGTGTAAGGTTTACAAGCAATACCGAAGGAGACATGGATCACATTCATCTAACATACACTCTTTTCCAATCAGTAAACTTTATTACTCCTTGTTTCCGGGCTTGAAAACCACGTTCGCACCGAGCGAGGCGAGGTTCGCAACGCAGTTTATTGGGTACAGCAATATGAATTGATTATCGAAAAACAATAAACTTAGCATATTTTACTATCTCAATACTCATTGTCTGATAATACTGGATAATTAAATCTTCCATTTTCATAGTAAGATAAGAACAATAAGACCGAGAAAATTTCAATACTTTCGATCTCAAACAAAGTTTCCAATGAACACCACTAATCACTCATTGAATTCCTGATATTGGTTCCCGCACTTATTCCCTAAGGAAAAAAACTTCCGGAAAAAAGTTCCCGGAATTATTTTTTTCCGGAAAAAATTACTTGGGAAATTTTTTTTCCCGGAAAAAATTACTTGGGAATTTTTTGTTTCGGCAAAAATTACTTGGGAAAATTTTTTTCCCGGAATTTAATTCCTTTTTTTTACTTCCTTGGAAAAAATGTCAGAAAAAAATAGAATCCATTTTTCACATCAAAAATGTACAGAAAATAATTTTGACAGAAGTTCAGGGAAATTTTAGACTTAATGGACATATTTTGGTTTTAGATTCTAGCTGGAAATGTATTGAATGGTGCGATAGTAAAATTGACGTTGGAAGGGATAGCGACAATCGACTGGAGATTAATTTCCCCCACTTATGACACTGTTTCGTGTAGTGATTATATTGTGCCGTGGCTAATACCCAAATATATATGTATCCTTGGGAATTTCGTGAGCTCAAAATTATTTCCATTAACACAATTCAAGTGATATTGTAAAATATTTGCGAAGCATTGCTCAAAATATTTCATTATAAATAATTTAATGGATTGAGGAAATTTTTGCAGCTAATTAGATTTAGTTCACATTAATATTTTTTTGACTATTATAATATTTACAGTTATCAACAATTATTATTTTCCGCAATAAAAAAAGAAAGAATTACAATCAAATGTGACTGGATAAGTTATTATTTCCCTAAAAAAGTTATTTTTTCCCAAAAAAATTAATACCGGAAAATTATTTCCGAAAAAAAAATTGTCAAATAATTTTTTCCGGAAATTTTTTTTCTCAAGTAGTCTTTTCCGGAAAAAATTTTTTTACAAGTAATTTTGAAAAAAAAGTATTTTTCCGAGAGATTTTTTCCAAAAGATTTTTTCCAAAGGAAAAAAGTGCGGACACCCTGATATTGAGTCAGCCATATTTGAAACAATATAATTGTTATTTTCTACTGTCGATTACGTGATTCATTAAACAACTAATGATTTCCTTATGGAATAAATTTGACGAGTCATTTGATTCCTCATTCTCAATTTTCCTCCAATGAATCGTAATTGAAAATCTATGTTTATTCATGACTTGTCTTCTAGTTATGTCGATTGTTGATTTGTTCGATTTTTATCTCAAAATTCCAGCTCGATGCCCCGTCACTGACAAGGAACACTAGGGAGGTGTTCCCCTCCGATTTTGATCAAACTCATAAATATTGTAAAGGGCCAGTGTTACCAGATCGTGACGTCACCCCATTTAAAATTGTGCAGGTTTTGGCTATAAATCGCCAAAATCTGGCAAACCTGTAAAGGGCTCAAAACTAAAGGACACGTATTTTTTTATTGGCAAATACGCGGCTTTAGGGGGGGGGGGAACCATGTTCAGAATGTGACCACCTTCGGGGGTAATCTTTCAATCCCACCTATAAGGAGGGTGTTTTTACAAATGTTCATCACGGTAATGAATAGCATGTGAGAAGTGATAAAAATCACAATTGATAGTTTCTCCGGGGGTTGAAATTTGAGGGGTAAACTACCCCTATAAAAATTTCGTTTTTCAAAAAAAAAAACTATGGCTTAGAATTTTATAAAACCATTTGCGTTTGAAAGAATATGGACAAATGCCGAATACGTTTTATTGGATTTTCGTCAGAACTCAAATTTTCTGGGATAAAAAAAAAAGATTTCTAGGAAATATCACCCATCACAGTGGTGGAGTTATTTATTCATTACATTGAAGAAGAAAATCGCTTGTGAGTGATTATGAAAATCACCATTAATAGTTCCTCTGCGGGTTGAAATTTGAAGGGGGAGGGGGGGGAGTGTAAACTACCCCTGTGAAAATATTTTTTAAAAAATTATAGGTCAGGATTTCATGAAATTGATTGCATTGGGAAGAACATGGAAAAATGCGGAATACCTTTTTTTTTATTTTCCCGGTACTCGAATTTTCTGGGGAAGAAGAAATAATTTTTACGAGAACTGTGAGTTGTCCAAATGATTTAGTATTTATTTCAAAAACTCATTCCATCCGTCTCAATCGAGCCTTCACTTCTTTGGCATTTTCCTGTGGTTGTCCATATATATATATTATTATGGATTATAATCGGTAGAGAAATGATATTCATCAAAAAAATGGTGCAGGCAGAGAGACTTTCTGTACCACGAGCATCTAACTACTGCAATATTAGGACAACCAGCAACGTCACATTGTGGATTAGAAGGTTGTCAAAATGCAAAATCAACAGGATTAACAAATTCCTCTGGTTTTCTAGCAATGCACCCAGTTTGGAACAAAGCATAACGCAATAGATTTTGATACCTTGGTGACAATAATTGATTATGAATTAGAGATTGCAATTTTATTGCATTATTTCGTGCATGTAAATTGATGTCATGATTCAAGAGAACGACCGTATCTGAAAAATGACGGCCATAATTTTTCCAAATTCTGAAACCTATACAGGGTATTTCTAAATGATCCAATTACCTCTCGTCCAGCGATAGATTCTGAATACCCCCTGAATACGGGAAAAATGCGAAAAAAATTATTAATTAACTAGTTTTTAAATTATTAACCTTTAAGGTGGACCAATTGGGAGCGCGTATTTTGCCGCAACGGAGTGGGTAGAGAGGGGAGTAGAGCATATGACAACAGCGCATCTAGTTATGGAGAGGCTAGTGACGTGAAGGCAGTTGCGGTATTGTCAATATTACTAGACGATGGAGGGATGTTTTCATGTATCCTCAATCAGTGATTGAGTCATTGGTTAGGCAGTATGCAGATTGGAATGACACCGAATTTTGAATGGTTTTTTGAACCCGAAAAAATGAGGATCGAATGTGAATCCCCCGCTGATGAATCCAATGCATCCAATGCGCAATAAATAATAATGAATTGATGTTTGAGTTGAAAATTAATTAGAGGCAAAAGTCCAGATCAACGCTTGACGATAGGACTCGAAATAATGGTCACAGAATAAGGGTCAGGAAGAGTGTCATGATAAGGGTAGGCAGGGGAGTCAAAGTAAGAGTAGCAATGAGGGCCAGATTATGGGTCCCAATAAGGGTCAGAATGAGCGTCAGTATGGGGGCCGAAATAAGGGTCGGTATGAGGGCCAAAATAAGAGTGGGTATAAGGGCCAAAATAAGGGTCAGAATAGGGGTCAAAATAGGGGTCGGTATAAGGGCCAAAATTATAGTCAGAATACGGGCCAAAATAGGGATGAGAATAAGGGCCAATGAAGGGTTGAAATAAGGGTCTGTATGAGGGTAAAAATGGGCGTTGGTATGAGGGCGAAAATGAGGGTCAGAATAAGAGTCAAAATAGGGGTCGGTATAAGGGCCAAAATTATAGTCAGAATAGGGGCCAAAATGGGGGTTAAAATAAGGGCCAAGATGGGGGTTAGAATAAGGGCCAAAATGGGGTTCGGTATCAGGGTTGAAGTAGGGGTCGGTAAAAGGGTCAACATAAGGGTGGGTAGGAGGGCCAAAATGGGGGTCAGTATCAGGGCCAAAATGAGTGACGGAATAAGGGTCAACTTTCGGATTTCTCAGAATTTCCGTGGTTCCCGGTAGCTTAGTCGGTAAGAGTGCCCGGCGCGTAACTGGGAGACCCGGGTTCGTATCCCGGCTGGGCGAATCGGAATTTTTTCTCTCTAAATTTCAATTCTATTTGAATTTTTTTCTTTTTTTTTCCTAAAGGAGGTTAGGCGGTGTATGAGGTGAATTTGAGAGTGAATTTCTGTGGTTCCCGGTAGCTTAGTTGGTAAGAGTGCCCGGCGCGTATCTGGGAGACCCGGGTTCAATTCCCGGCTGGGTGAAGCGGAAATTTTTTCTCTCTAAATTCTAATTCTCTTGGAATTTTTTTTTTTTTTGCATAATAAGGGTTAGTTAAGGATCAGAATAATGGTCAGAAAGGAGAGTCTGAATTGTAGAAACTTGGGGTCAGAATCAAATTGCTCCCTTTCATATACAGTGTGTCCCAAAAAGGAATGTCATCCTCCTCAGGGGAATTGGGGGGGCTCATATGGAGATGAAGACCCCAATGGCATTGCTCTCTCCCGCTTTGTTCAATAGCTTTTGACAAAAATGAAGGAGTCAAGAAATCTCATGTTGACATGAGGGCCGGAATAAGGCCCAAATTGAAGTTAAAATCAGAGCTACCATTAACGTCGGTATAAGGGTCAAAGTTAGGGTCAGAATAGGGACTGCAATAAAATCAAAAATAAGGGGGTCCGTATGAGAGTCAAAATGGGCGTTGGTATAAGGGCCAAAATGAGTGTCCAAATACGGGCCACAATGAGGGGCATAATAAGGGTCAGTTAAGGATCAGAATAATGGTCAGAAAGGAGAGTCTGAATTGTAGAAACTTGGGGTCAGAATCAAATTGCTCCCTTTCATATACAGTGTGTTCCAAAAAGGAATGTCATCCTCCTCAGGGGAATTCGGGGGGCTCATATGGAGATGAAGACAATGGCATTGCTCTCTCCCGCTTTGTTCAATAGTTTTTGACAAAAATGAAGGAGTCAAGAAATCTCAACGTATTGCAGGTCTTGACGGTTCCCGATGAAATGTGGCATCATGAGATTCTT